GCTTTATCCCACTTCTCCGTTTTATTCTGTGGTGGTTCATCGTCGATTACGTGTATAATGTTTAATTCTGCCAGCACAGCACGTATACGGAATTTCCAGACACTGTAACGTTCACCATCGAACACTTTAATGTTTCGTTTTATACCCGCACTTTCCATTGTTCTCTTTGCACAGTCCTTTTACACTTAACAAAGTTAATTAAAAAAAACGTTGCCTGGGCCCATAACCTGTTGGGATTATGGAATGAAAATGAATATGATTCTAATACTTTGCTTAAAAGGACTTTATTTTATTCTCTTAATGAGAGCAGGTATATGAGCGAAACAGATCGAGCGATCAAACTCTACTAAGTGTCCGGTAAGAAGAAACGCTTCTTTTATACTCCTTTTGGGTTCGTCGTGTCCACCAATCAGAGACGTTTTATTTGTCGCGTCTTACATTGTATACGTGACGGTCAGGGCACGATGTACATCAAAAGGTACCGGCGATGATGTATCGCGGCATCTAATATATACAGATTCCGTCACCGTCGCTGCCCGCTGACGGAGCCGGCGAAATGTAAACCGATATCTTAACTGAAGATATCTTACTAAGTAAACTATAGATTAATTTTTGTTCGAGGCTAAAATTTCAACACGATTCTACAAAAGTTTTGTGTAATGTATTTTTGATGTAGTCAACAATTTAAAAGATGTTCGAAAGTATCAATTTTACGAGCATTTGAACAATTATCTTAATGGTGACATTTTGTTTGATTAATTAGAACTTTTCTAGAGGGTGCCGTAAAGAACAATTTTGAAAAAATGCACCCTATTATAACAGATGTTTTTATATCTGTAGGATTTATCTTAAACCTACAGCTATGAAGTGTTACAGAATAATTTTATCCCAAGCGTATATAAAAATTAGATTTTTCTTCCCTTTCTTTCCATGTTCTGCTCTGATGTCTTTTCTTACTAGCGCCTGCATGGCGCTAATTAGTGGTCTTTCATCTCTTTCTAGTTCTATATAAACTTTTTGAAAAGACTTAATCTAGTTCTGATATGAAAGTTCTATGATTTATTTGTTGTTCTTATGTTATACTGTCTTCGATATTATCATTGGATGACTATTTAACACAAGCTACAAGGTATAATGTTATTTTTGCTCGTGACGCCTGATATTACAATCATTCCGCATCATAAATTTGAAATTGGTTATATTCTGAATAAAAAGAATATAGCATTCCGTTTAAAAGAATTACGCATTCAACAGATTCTGAAGTAAAAAATGCTCGTACAATACATAGATATATACACTATACTTATTATAAAATATTATTTACTTGATATCACATTCTAAAGTTCTGAATCAGCTGTTAATGTCTGGTTCCCTTAGGTTAAAATCTTCCCTGTAAGGATAACTTTACAAGGATTGTTTCCCATTCTAGTAAAAACATAATGTCAAAACCAAATTCTATAAGTCTGATAACGTTCTATTTATAAGAAGTAATATACGAATGACTGTTGGCACATAATTGACACATATACACTCTGTGCGCCTGTTTCCGCGTCGCAAACTAATCTCGCTATACGCAAGTAACTCTATAGCCAACAACAGTGTCGGAAGTTTTGCTACAAGATGGTCGGTCGAGATGGTAAATAGTGTTCTTCTTATCTATGAACGAGCATCTAACAAGCGTTTCCTGTTTCTTCGGTTGCTCAGTTGCCGTCATCTCGTCCTCAATTACATCAACGTCATCGATGATCGAACCGTTGTTCCTCTGTGCACATTGCCCGCTTTTCTCATTTTTCTCCATAAAGTTTCCGGTGCTTACGCGCCTTTTCTTCATCAAAGATTTTCCAATTGCAAAATTTGGTCGGAACAGAACATCCTTTCGGTCGAAACAGTAAATACTGCCGGCACGATCTCTCTGCGACGACTTTGCTAAAACATCCATTCTATTGAAGTGGCAGATACTTCCGGCGCGTTCTCTTTGCGTCGTTCGTCCGAGAGCGTCCATTCTATTGTATCGACATAAATTGATTCCACGGATTCTGCACCATGATTTTTGAGGAACGTCAATACGACTGGCACTTGTTTTTCTGTTTTGAAAAAATGGTTCGATCGCCTCGATGTCATCGATCTGGCGGACGATGGTTCTTCTATCGCATTGTAAAACCTTCGAAAACTCATTAGCCGAGTTCAAATTTTTTGTCTCATCCGTGCGCATCGATTCATTGTTCTTCCGTGAGTTGGTATCCAAATGAATCGATGACCGAAGGTCGACCGCACTCTTTGAGCGATGCGAAATTTCCAGGTCATTTCCATGCAACAGGGCGCTGCGGCTGTTGAAGACGCTGCATTGTCTGGGACGCATTTGACCCGGATCGAAGGTTAATTCATCTCCGCAAGGGCTGGTACATTTAGGGTATGTGAAACGATTCTGGAAACAAGGATAAAATTAATTTAAAGATTAATTGCATACATTTCTCGCGAAGATAAAATTATAGGACAGCCTGAAGATGATTGGGAAAAGAATTCTCTATTACTCTGAAAAGAATGGTCTCTACCAACAAACTAAACGACGCGAAGGGCAAGGAAAATCGGTTATGACGCTCCATAGAAACCCTTCACTTTTCAGGTTCGGAATTATTATGTGCCAAGTTACATGCTGGATGCGAGACACGATTAGATGAAGCAAACGACCGATTTTCCTTGCCCTTGGTGTTGTTTACTTATCCAATAATAATCCGAATTCTGAAGAAGCGAAGACGATTAGATGGAGGGGATGCTCCCCGCGTTGTTTAGTTCGAGAGTAGATGCCATTCTCTTTTCAGTTTCCAGTAGTATATGTTATCTGCCACAAGAGTTCATAGAATTGGACAAATTTAACAAATAAGTTAAACAATTTATTTGCTAACAAATTTAAAAAAGAATACAAGACAGTAAAGGATGCTTCTCAATTAGATACTCAGTTACTAAAATATTTGGACGCCTTCTACATTTTTGTGTACAATCTGGGCGTCAATTAGGGAGAATTTACATGTGGATTCGTTATATTCAAAACTCTATAAACGAGTACCATTGTGTCTTCGCGTGTTCGTATGCGTGTACGAGTGGCAGGTGTCCCCTGTCCCTCGACAGACAAGACCGAAGAGCGGTCGTCGACCTCCACGGAGAATTATAATAATGTTGCCACGGGCTTTGACGAGGCTGCGCCATCTGTCGAAATAACCGTATTGTTCGCTATAGCAATTGTCAAGGTTTACGCGCCGCACGGCAGGTCGCGTCTCGCGCGCGCGCGCGCATTAGTTAATCAAGGATCTCGATGTGACGAACCTCGTTCGGCCAATCCACCTCATGAAGACTCGATCGCCGATCCCAGTCGCATTACTTCGTGCAGACTACGCGAACAACGTAGATACGATTCTTAACCACTTGCGCTGGAAAGACGTGCCACGCACGTCGTAATGCTTTTGCCACAGAATCGCCAACGACGTGGTATGTACGTTGTCATGCGATTGTCACAGAAATAAAAACGACGTGCATGGCATGTCGGGTGGGATTGTTTGCCAGAGCACAGATTATTATTGCACTGTATAGCATACAGTTGTCAATATTTAACCCATATTCTAAAATGGAAAGCAAAAGTGAAGTTAACGATATTATTTCGACAAATAGAAAAAGAAAACACGATAGTGGCGATAGTGATAGTGACTTCAATGAAATTATTTTTCCACTTCGAAATCGGCATATAATTTTATCTGATGACTAGGAAGAATGCATAAATGAAGATTGTGAAATTAATCTGATATCTAATGAATGGATATGGAAAGATATCGAAAATATAACTAAAATCTGGAAATATTCATGAATTTCGAAAATAAATATATCGTTTAGGCAAAGTGTCGCAGTTTTACAAATGGCAAATGAAATACTAACGGAAGACTTTTGGCAAATTATTGTAACTGAAACGAATCGTTACGCGAACCAGATAACTCTGTACCAGCCATCATACTGCTGCCAAGCCCCCGACATAAAATAGAAAACAGTCGTTTGTGCCGCCACGGACATTTCCAAATTCGAAGTTAATAGCAGGGGCTCGTACGAACCTATATCTGCACACTAGATCTGCACGGAGATTTATTTATTTATTTATTTATTGTGCTCAGAGTTTTTCGAGACCGTTTTCGGGCTCGTCCGACCGTCGTAAACCAGACCCGAAGGATTTCCCAACCTTCCATTCTTTATGATTCTTTTCCCGCTGTTGCCAACGATTTTCCTTCGACATCCTACTATCTCCTTTCCAACTCTCCTCTGTCGTTTTCTTCTCCTTCCTACTAGTATTTAAGGGTGCTGGTTTTCTGGTGGACTCTCGCAGAGTGACGGGCAGTCTATCGAGATTTCTCCAGACGTACGGACGCGAAATAGGCCCAAGAAATAAACAGCGTTGATTGAGATTAAAATGTGGTGAGAGTTTTCGTTATTCACATTATCGCCCTCAATTCCAAAATGAAAAACTCACAAATTAAAAAAATATGAAGACAATTGGAGAGATACAAATGTTGATGAAATAAAAGCATATTTTGCTTTATGCATTTTGATGTCGCAAGCGAAGAAAAACAATATTCAATCTTATTGGTAAAAAAGAAGCATAATCGAAACTCCGACATTTCGAAAAACCATGCCATTTTGGAGATTTGCCCAATTATCTCGCTTTTTACACTTTACTAACAACGAAGTTGAAGACAATAATAATGATCGTTTATGGAAATTGCGAAGTATATTCGATTATTTCTATGAAAAATTTAAGACTATTTACACTCCCGAGGAAGATGTATCATTAGATGAATCGCTAATGAAATATACAGGCCGTATGGCATATAAACAGTATAATCCATCGAAAAGAGCCCGCTTTGGAGTGAAATTTTATAAACTGTGCGAATCAAAGTCAGGATATTGCATTCAATTTAAGATATACACAGGTCAAGATAAAAATAAAAATGCAGACACAAGTGCATCAGAAAATGTCACAATGTTTATGTGTACGCCAATATCTGGTTACGGACACACTCTATTTCTCGACAATTGGTATTCATCACCAAGTCTATTTGCAAAGTTACAATCTATAAAGAATACAGTGAGATGTAATAGGAAGAATATGCCCAAAGAACTAGCAGCGGCAAAACTGAAACGATCTGATGTGATTTCAAGATCGTCTAATGGTATCTTAGTTGCCAAATGGAAAGACAAAAATGATATATATCTAATGTCCACAAAGCATTCGAAGATAGAGATGATAGAAGTAGGAAATGGATGTAGCAAAAAGCAAGAAATTTTCCTTTTCGAAGTTTCGATTAGATGCAGTAGAACAACTATTACAAGCTGTATGTATTCCCGATTATAAAAAACGCGGAACGATGTATGTTGGAAGCACACCCGATCGTTTAGAGGCAGAGCAATGGGGACATTTCCCGAGAAATATTCCACCCACAAATGCCAAAAAGAATCCACAGCGAAGGTGTAGAGTGTGTACTAAACACAAAAAACGAAGTGAAACTATATGAGAATATAAGAAATACCTTTGTTAATAAATAAATTTAATATTTATATTTGTATAATTTTATAATCAATCGATGCTCTATATTCCCTTCAAAAAACTATTAAAAGTCCTAGGTCGAAAATAAACTAGTTTAGAAAATATAAATCTTTTTCCGATTTCTCTGAGGCATCGAACACTGTGACGCCTCCCAGCGAGTTACACTGGACCGTTTTGGTACACGCGTTGGTGAATTTTTTGCCAGCGCAAGTGGTTAAACAAACATATTTTTCATGTTCTTTAACGCGATTATTTATTATTAAATTAGCTTTACGAATCGTTCGTTGAATTCTGTTTGCATACAGAATTATTGAAACAAAAATATCTTTTGTGTAAGTTTGACAGGGTTTCTTATTGTTAATCGTCACTGTAAACGGTTCAATTAATAATTCAAATGGCTGTTACGGTTAAACTACTTACTACTTCGGGTCCGAAAAAAATTAGTAAATATTCTTCTGACATTCTAAAATAAGGATGAACAGTTTTTTTTCTTAAAGTTATGACTGTTGCGTAGTAAGGAAGTTCGGAAAGTTCACGCTCCGTGACTTGTCCATTGCTTCGAACGCGGCCTGAATGCCGTCGCGCACCGCTATCGAAGCCCAGTTCCGCTCGCTGACTCGACCACCTTGCGGTTATTGAGCTCGCCTCTTATTGGTTACTGTTTTTCGTTAATGCCGCGAATTGCATTTTCGCTAAGAAAAAAGTTACTTCAAAACACCTCAGGAACGCATCATTTTCCGAAAGAAGCATAATAAAATAAAAATAAATAACCTTGACAAATTTAATAAACAGATTGCAAGCTAAAGGACGAAGATTAAATAAGCATGACAATCAAGAAGAACCAGTAGCTTTCAAGTCAACGTCAAAGAAATGTTTTAGATACGATAGTAATAATCGCAAAGCTATATTTTGCAGAGCCATGTCGCCCAATCGCAACAGCTATAGAACTGGCAGTAAGGAATACATACCACTTTAACGAAATAAAGAACACTTATTCAAGAAATTAACAGAAATGCAAAATTTAAAAAACGAACCATGTTGAAAGAGATTGTTATTTCAGGAAAGAAGAAGTATGCAAAAGACAAGGTACGTTTTTTAAACATGTATGTTGGGAACTCTAGCTATGTATTGAAAGGATAAAAGGTTGGAGAGTGGATTGTACGATAATAGACTGTGTTTTACGAAGGAAAGAAATAATGTACAATATACAGGGTGTTCCATAATTACTTTAACAACTGAAAATGGGGGGTAGCTGAGGTCATTAAAAATAACGTTTTCCTCTGCGAAAATGCAATCCGCGACTTTGTTTACGAGTTATTAACGAAAAACGGTGACCAGTGCGAGGCGAAGGCGCGAATTATAAGGTGGTCGATCGATCGAATGCAACGTGCTTCAACCGTGGAGCGTGACAGAAGAAGGGGGACCCCATTCGAATCAATGAACAAGTCATGGAGCGTGAACTTTCAAATTCTTTTTTACTACGCGACAATTATAATTTTAAGAAAAACGCCATTCATCTTTATTTTAGAATGTTTGAAGAATATTGACTAATTTTTCGTACCCGAAATATTAAGTAATTTAACTGTGACAGCCGTTTCAATTTTCCGATGTGCATGACATCTTGTTTTTACCATATGAAATTTTTAAGCAGGGTGTACAGTGAAGATTAACAAAGTACGTAAATGATATTTTAATTTAAATAATTCCGTGTCCGAACAGAATACAAAGAAAGATTCGCAAAGTTAATTTAATAATAAATAATCGCGTTACAGGATGTAAAGGATTTGTTCGTTAGAGAAATATGAAGAATAGGCGACAAGTACATCGCGACGATATAAACAAGGCGGCCGTTTTTTATATATAATTTCGGGTCGTTCACCTGAGCCCACGTTTTTCTGGTTCCACGCGGGCTTTAGATCTCGTGGCACGAGCGAGTTCCCGGGTGAAGGCGAGCAGTAGTGTCTTCATCGTTCCTCCAGTCTATCGGGGGCGTAATAGACATAAGCGATTAAGCAGTGTGGCGAACACAGCCCGCGTGGCCGATCCGAGGTTGCTGGCTCTGATTCCAGGATCGGCGCATGCTAAGCGATTTCCTAACCCAGGTTCTTCTGATGCCGGCATAGTTACCCAAAGTGCGTTTAGGGTGCGTCGCCAGAGGGAACGATGCGGAGGAGGCGTATGGACAGAGAGCGCAGGAACAGCGCGTCCTTTTCAGGACGAGAACTTTCATGGGATAAATAAACTTCCTTTCCTCGTTCAGCGATCGCGTTTGACACTCGTCTGGTTTAATTATAGATCGAGAGAACTCGGAAACGTGCCGGCCGATAATAGGCAGCCAGCGAGGGCAACTCGAGATAGGAGCACGACGCGAGGGCAGTAGCTCACTTGCGCACTATTAGTTTTTCAACCAAAGTATTCTCTTCTCTTTTCTTTTCTTTTCTTCACAAAAGCAGTTAGTCTAGTTTAGTTTGTCAAGGTTAATAATATATTAAAGTGAAGTTTAATTTGTTATTTTCGTAACCACGAGTCGGGATTTATTTCAATCCCCCCACCAATTCGAACCCCAGTGTTACAAGATAACCGTCTACCAAGCGAAGCTGGCCACCGCCAAGTATATTCTTTCGGAAAGCCCTCAGGAGAGCTGTCATAACTTACATATTTCTGCATATTTTTAACTAAAAAAAAAATTAGTAATAAAAAGCCTGATCTTTTAAATAAAGGAACATTGGCTGAAAAAGGTGTTAAAAATTTTGAGAAAAAAAATTCCCAAGAACCCCACTTTTTATAACTCTCAACTGAGCATGACCTCTTAATGACGTCTTTATTAAGATCTTATTAACATCTGAAACGAGACGTCTTTAAGACATTTGAAATATGTCCTCAAGGCATTTTGTATGTTTTTTTTTTAAGTAAATTAGTCAAATGCTTTTAAATACAAAATGATGATGTGAACTTTATTTCTACGCCTTTTATACAAATTGATGATCGCCACGGGCACACCGATTATTTTGTCCTCACATCGATTTACAACAGTGTTAACAATATACAGACGGAATACATATAGTATCAGACTCTGTACTACAGTACATATCAGACTCTGCCGTCCAGGAAAATAGCATCGCGCAGAATTCAGCCGCGACTGAAAAACCGCTCCACTGTGACCTTAGCCTTATTATTCCGCATGTTGTGTCTGTTCGAAATTCTAACTAGGTCGTGGATTCCCCAGGTAGTTGATTCCCTTCTCCTACATACAATGGCCTACATAAGTGTCCGTACACTAAAATGCCTTTTTCTAATGTTGCTATTATTTAGGATAACAAAAAAATGAAAAACTTTCGTTTTTTAACTTTTTTAACCGAGACTATAACAAAAATTGTTAAAATGCCTTTCGTAGATCTCGGTAACTTATATACGTTCTGTAATTACTATTATTATTTCGCGCCAAACGGATCTTTTTTTCGAATACTATATTCAGATTTAGTTTCAGTGACTTCATACCATATAAAAATATAAATTGACACTTATTTAGATGTTTATCATAAAATTGTATACAACGAAACGCGCAGTCTGTACCCTACTTCCATCGCATCCCATGCCCTCTTAGTGAAGATATTCATCACCTACTCACGATTTCCATTCAAGAATGATAGCGAATAATTTCAAGAGATCATGTTATCGAAAGGACAGCCCTCCGAGTTATTCTTTACTGTATTAGATCCTGTGGCAGTCGCATACCTGATGTACGAGAGACAAATACAGGCTTCCGAAGCAAAGGTGACATTACGAGTACGAGGATTTTCCCATCATGCCTCCTTCGCCATAGTCGCCAAACCTGGCCTGTGGCAGAATTTCCTGGCGACCACGGTACCAGAGAACAAGAATAGACGCTTCAATATCGAAGTGAGCAGTTTAGTAGCGGAAAAGTTTGTTTCCTAAAAGTCTAAACTACGTCACTGTGGTCTCCGAAATGCGGATTATTAGATCACTGTTGACATATTTGCAATATTCGGCTAGCATAACGCCTGTCCGAAGCAAACACGATATCACACACATTTGTAACATAACAACCTGTCTCTTCCACCAGCATTATCAATCGTACATTTTTCCTACGTGCAGTCATAGTCGAACTCGTCTGCGGTGGAGTTTTTAGTCGGAAAAAAATAGCCGCGCTAGTAGTGAAAGACGTCGAAACCTTTGAGCTGGTGTTTTCTCCTTACCAATTTTTCGTGTATAAATAAGTAAGTAATTAACGAGAAATACATACCACTGGCTTTGTATTTAACCAAGCTATGTCGGTCCAGTCTTATTGTTCCAATACGAACGCTAAATCTTTCGATATTTAAGAAAATCTATCGACCGCGGCCATCTTGGGACGTCCGCTTTGCTTCGAATCCTTCTATGCTATCGAATATTACAAATTATGTACTCTGCAATAACGTAAACTTCGCTCATTTCGATTATAAAGCGTCAGTTTTGGTAAGAAATAAACTGAAAAATTGTGCGCATGTAAGGTACCCCATGCTTTTTCGGCCAAACAGTATCAGCATACTCTACGAGCGAAAAGAAAAAAAAAATGTTATACAAGCATAGGCTGAGAAATGGTTTTTTAAAAAATTATAAGAAAAATACGACAAAAACAACGGACTGATGGGGGATATCTCCATTTCGAAGTGTCGCCTGTTTTTGAAAATGCAGCATTGACATCTATAAAGAATTAAACGACTTAGTAAACATAGCTTGGATAAGTAAATGCAGATAAAAGAAACGCCACTAACATATCTTTACATCGAACGAAAATCAGTCCGTTGTTGTTTCGTATTTTTCTTATAATTTTTTAATAAAGCATTTTTCAACATTTTTCACATTTTGTTTATATATATAGGATACAATGTGATTGAATGTTTGTTTATCTTTTGTGACTCGTGTCACGTGATACACACACGTGATACACAAGTATTCGAAAAGTACTCTAAGACAATTTATTTTCTCTTGCAGTTGACTTTGGGTGACTTTGAATGACCTTCATAAATAGTTAATTGTATTCGCCTCGAAACACTCTATCAGAATGTAAGTAAAAAAACTTACTGTTCCATTTAAAAAAACAGAATTGACCTTCATATCTCCTCGACGCCTCTACTTACAGAAAAATTGGTAATACCAGATTATATATATATGAGCCCCCCGTTACCAAGTAAGTTTGGTCTAATGCATTTTCTCCTATCTTTAAAAACAAGTGAGTTATTCAGGTGACCTGTTTAAAATGCCCCACCCTGTATACAGGGTGTCCCAGGTTTTAATGTTCAAACTTTGTTAGTGTATTCTATGGCACAAAGTAAGAAAAAAATGTTATGTAAACATAGGTCATATAGGGCTTTATTAAGAAGTTATAACAAAAATTCAGAATAGGAATAGTAATCAACTTGCTGTTACTGCGAGCATTGGCTTGAATAGATCAGCACATGTCGTGTGTTTATGTAAGCTGTGTTTATTAATACATTTTGAAATGTGTATTAATAACCGTTGTTGACAATACGTGATTGACATCGATCGAAGATTTTCTTTAATTTTTTTTTTAGTTGATTACTATTCCTATTCTGAATTTTTGTTATAACTTCTTAATAAAGCTCTATATGACCTATGTTTACATAACATTTTTTTCTTACTTTGTGCCATAGAATATACCGACAAAGTTTGAACATTAAAACCTAGGACACCCTATATATATATATATTTCTATATTTTTCTAGTAATGGTATATTGGATGACCCATTCTTAATAGGAGTAACTGTGTATTTGGATCTCTTTGTGTGCGACACATTAGTCTAACGAGAGTCGTAAGAGTCACCACGCGCCAATATGTAAAAGAACAGAACTAATAAAAACGATTTATACAAGCTAACATGCGCATATTTAATATACTGCATAATCCTGTTCTAGTCACATCTAGATATGCCATTTACCAGGAACAAATTGAAAAGTAAATCTTTTTTTATGATTCAGAGATTCGAAGCTTTCACGGTTGAGCATCATACGGTTCTTACTGTAGAAGCATTTGAGTATAAGCCGTGTCTCAATTAAAAAACTATCCGAGTGATGAGCAATTAGCTGAAGCGTGAACAAGCTCTACAGCATTAAGTGTAACACGACCAAGCACGCACCAGTTCCAGTGTGTCTTTGACCCCTGACGAAGATAGTTGCAATGCTTGTGAAATAGTGAGAAAATAATTATACCAGGTCACGGGTTATACGAAAGCCTGGACAGGAAGAACTATTTCTAAAGTTGTTAAAAATCTAGCACGCGTTTAAGTAGGATAATTTATATATTTGTAAAATATTGAACTGCGTGGTTTGCCTTTGAAGATCGCGTTATGTTTTTTTTTTGTAATATTGCAGACATCTTGGAAATATAATTTGCTAATAATTTCGCATCATTCATATCCTAAAAATTCTATCAGAAACGCCGAACCTACCTGAAGTAGATTTTGGTCGATGGCTGGACAGCTTTGTCTGTGTTGGTCCTGATATTTAGGTTGAGACGGCTCCAACATTCTGATCTTACCCCATCGATTAAAGAATAAAGCAACTGCCACGATCCAGAGAAAAAGAACCAGAAGAACAATGAAAGTCTCCTCAATTTTGATCATGATAATGCCCGCCTCCGGAATACCTGTTTCAATTCATTTCGATACAATCAAGACATTTTAAAGCGAACAGATATAAATTCCAAGTATTATTTTTTTAACTTCGTCTCTTATCGAACAGATTTTTGAAAGGCCTTATTGAAATTTCAACAATGCGCCAGATATACAGTCATGGACAAAAATAATATTACGATATTAATTTAGACTAACATCTAAGACAAATCTTCGAAATTTTATGAAAAAAGTGAAATCATTCCGTCATTTCGTAATCTTTTTCTGTCATTCTAGCAGAGAAGACATTATATAACCATTATAAAACTTTCGATGATCTCTCTATAAAATACATTTCAATGTTTCTTTTTGTGGATTTTCAATATTATCATTTCTTTCCCTACTGAAAGAAGTTTCACTATGTAAGCGAAATAGATACGATATAGAAAATTCCTAGGGTGAATGTATTTATACAGGGTATCCCAAAAACGTCTCGCAATCCGGAAATGGCGGGTTCCTCGGATCATTTGAAGCAGCTTCTTCCTTTACAAAAATTTTCTCCGAGGCATCGTTAACGAGTTATTAACCAGAAACAGTGACCAATAAGAATCGAGTACGGCTGACACGAGGCGGCCAAGCCAACCAGCGCGCGAAGCCCAGTTCCGCTCATTGGCTCGGTCGCCTCGCGCCAGCATAGCTCGCTTTTCATTGGTCACTGTTTTTCGTTAATAACTCGTTAACGGTGCCTCGGAAAAAATTTTTGTAAAGGAAAAAGTTGCTTCGAATGACCCGAGGAAGCCGCCACTTTCAGATTGCAAGACATTTTTAGGACACCCTATATATCGGAGAGGAAATGATGGATGTGGTAAATTTTTCCAACCAAAGACGCGTAATCGTTTATGTACATTTTGTTGCAACACTGATATAATTCCCATTTTCTTTAAATGTCGATTTTGATTGTACTGTAGCGTACGCTTAAGCGCGCAAGATGCGTGCAAGAAGTTCGGCAATTAAAGGGGTCAACGTGATCAGTACCAAATAAACGTGCGATAAAGAAAATTTCATTTTTTTTGTAATTGTTGCGTTACTTTTACAATCGTAGCATCAATGAAATTCTTCCGTTTAAAATCATTCGATATACAATGGAAATCGGACTAATTTAAACTGCATTCGGGTTAATTAATAAGCAATCTATAATAATAAGCTTGGAATGAAAGGTTCCGTCGCAAGACGGCACGGTCGCGCTGCGGGGGCAGGGGAGCATACCGCAGTGCGGACCAATTAACATAGAGCTCGCGAAAAGCGGACCGTTGCGCGCTAATCAGCGCCGCGGTGAGCGAACGCCGCGACAATGGGGACACTCTCCATGGCCCGCGCTGTTACCAAAATCGCGAGCGCGACACAGATCGAGCAGCGTTTCGTTTGTCAGCGTTAGCATTCCATGTCGCGCACCGAACAGTACGGATGTGTCTACACCACGCTAGCTTGTCTACCTCATTGTGCTTACAGCACTTCCTTGCGTCGCTTGTACTGCTTAATTCAGTGCAGTTGCATACACTTCTAATTTTTTAGTGCTTCTTCGATCTGTGAGTGAGTGTATTGTACGATAACCGGTCCTTCACTCCCTTTCCAACCCTAGTCCCTCCTCCCCCCTTCTCCTCATATTCCCTTTTCCCTTCCCCCTTAGTAACCTCTTTATCTTTTCTCTCTTTTCTCTATCTTTCTCCTTTTCTACTCTTCCTTCCTCTCTCCTATTCTTTTCTTCTTCTCCTCCCTTTTTCTTCTCTTCTCTCTTCTTCTACTTCATTTTCTCGACCTTCCTCTTTCCTACCTTCTCTTCATTGTGTCCTCCGTTCTCATCTCTTTCCTTTCTCATCAATCTTCTGCCCGCAGTACACCACCACAACCACCTCCAAATCTTATCACTCGCAACTCAATCAAAACCTCGTTAATCATTTCATTTTCATTCCCTCTTAATTCTCCATACGTCAAAATCAGTGGTGCCACCTACTAAGAAAAAATTATCAGGTCAAGCCCGGCGACAAATATGACCGTATAATCCGGAAATTACAATCAAGATCTGGCCTCAGACAATCACTCAAAGCCTCCGGCCAATCTGAGCAGCAGAATCCTCTGAACATCGCAGAATATGAGCACGACTATGACAACCCACACATAAAAGAAAAACCATATACGTATATTAGTTTGCAGAGGTTTACATCCACTAAAACTGACACTTTAATATCGAAGTGTGCAGTTTGCAAGTGGAAAATTTAGATTCCCAAAAGACTAAACTCGGGAGCTTCGGTTGTAGAAATATCCGTTTTGCAGTTATTGAAGAGATATTTGCAATATTCGGCCAGAGTGGTGTCAATCTCATGAGCATGACGTCACAAGATGGCCGCCGCTAACAGTTTTTCGTAAATATCGAGAGATTTAGAGCTCGAATCGAAAATTCACAACCGAAGCAACCGAGATAATGCATGTACAAAGGCAATGGAGTGTATTTTCAGTTGATTACTTACTTAATTAAGACATACGGCTAGTGGATCTGAAACACCACCTCGAGGTTCCGACATTTTTCACTACTAGCGTCACAGTTCTCTTCCAACCAAAAAGATGCGCCATAGACGTGCTTGTCAGTGACTATAGTTAGTTGCAGTCGATAATACAGATTGACAAGTTACATAGTTTTATACTTCCATTCAAAATATTTCGGACCAGGGGAAGGTGGCATGCGGGGCAGTCCCCATATTCGTGTGCGGCGCGGCAGTTACAGCAGCAACGCTCGTCGAATATTGTAAATATCTCAAGTATAATAAAAAAATGGTCATTTCTACAACCGAAGCGCCTCACATTAGACTTTTCGGAATCGAAATATCCAACTCCCGAACTGCTCACTTGAATATTAGCACGTCCATCGTAGTTGATATGAACAGTTGTCACGAAGATATTTTGCCACGCGCTAGGTTTCTTGACCAGGGGAAGGTGACATGCGGGACAGTCCCCATACTCGAGCGGCACGGCAGTTACAGCAGCTACGTTCGTCGAAGGAAACATCATCGGTGAGTCCTGGTCTTAATATTACTGCTGACCATGAATTTAATCTTGGTTCATTCATGGTGTCATAGCAGACAATCTTACTAGTGCCTATACTAACGAGCCCAGCATGCCTAGCTTGAACAATCGTCCCCGAAGCCGTCGTGCTCTAAAGCTCCGTCGCTATCTCTCTCGCGTAAATCTCCTTCCTCTCAGCCATCTAAAACTCCGGAACTAGTAACGGTCAGACCCCCGGAGCTATTTACCAAAAAGCCTTCAGCAAACCGATCAACTAGCAGTTGCAAAAAACCGTGTATCATTTTCGAAACTCATATTAACCAGTTAACTGTGGCGATCTCTTTGCAAAGCGCCCCTATCATTAAGAAACTCAAGACCAAGAAAGCTCCTGGGCCTGACCGCATAACTGTTCCCATGCTCAAAAACGCGTCAACCAAAATAATACTCCAGTTATATTACATTATAAAATCCGCATACATAGCAGGCTATTACCCCACATTAGCAAAGATCATCCCGGGTGAACCCAGAAATGCACCCAATAACTTCAGACCCATTAGTCTCCTACCGTTATGTGGCAAAATTATGGAGAAATGTATATTTCACCTAATTCTAAACACCGTAACAGATCGTAACATCTCAATCATATAACAATTCGGTTTTCGTAAAGGTCACTCCACCACTCATCAAATCCTCCGTTTATCGCAACTGATCACCCAGCAAATGAACACTCGTCGTTACTCTGTACTAGTCCTACTAGATCTTGCCAAAGCTTTTGACTCGGTCTGGCACGATACGCTGCTATATAAATTGCACCGCCTCGGCTTTCATACACACATCATCCGAATCATTCAATCCTACCTCACCAACAGAAAAATTTTGGTCCAAATCACCGGCTACTAATCTAGACATCACATCATTCCCGCTGGAATCCCCCAAGGATCTATCCTTGGTCAGATTCTTTGAACTCGTATATCAGAGAAATTCTTAGAACTTGTATATCAATGACATCCCTACACAAGACCAATGCTCCTTGGTATAATTTGCTGACGACACCGCCTTGTTAACATTATCCTGGCAACTCACAGAACTCCTGTCTCACATGCAAAAATACCACAACTCCGTGGACTGTTTGTTCAAAACCTGGAAACTCCTAATAAACCCATCCAAAACTCAAGCAATTCTTCTTACCCTCAGACGCAGAGAACCAAATCGCCAATTACCCCTGCTGCACATCCAGCAACATGCACTTCCTTGGTTTCCAACAGTTACTTACCTCGAGCTCAAAATTAATCGAAATCTCAATTGGTTAGTCACCGCCAAAGACAGGGCCACTAAAGCCATCCAAGCTACTTACAACCTCATGCACGTCCTTAATCCCAATCGCGTCTCAGCCTAAAGCTAAGACTGATGATATCCAAGGTCTGGATCAGACCCATACTCACATATGGAGCCACGCGTCTGGTGATCCGCGTATCCCAAAACTCAGAAGCTATTCCGAATACTTACAACAACTCAAAACAAAATCCTAAAAATAATAACTGGTTTTCGCCGCCGTTTTCCTATCGAAACACTCCTCCGAAAAACTGAAATCCCTAATATAAACGTCTACCTCTATAATCTTATAGCCAGATTTCAAAACTGCAACCCACAACAACCCATTAATTTCCCACACAGCGACTTACGGTAGACTCAAAATCCCCTATAGAATCAAAATCGAATTTCCTTTCGCATTTCTCAACCTGGATTGCACACGTTTAACTCTTCGGGGTTTTGCTCAACCTTAATCGCTCTAACGGCATGCTGGGCCCGACCCGCTCACGAGAACATCGAAACTCTGCTTATCTTCTCATAGTGATTTACTCCCTCTAATCACCTACAATCTTTACATAGACACACGCTTGTAATTCTCTCGGCCTCTTTTTTCAGTTCACACCACAAGGCTTACACTAACTTCCCACACAGGACACGTCCCATAGCAACATCATATACTGTACGGGAGCCTCAACCCTCAGAATCGATATAATTACACCGTCAGCAAGCTGCACTCACAGGCTCTGCCCACTGCAACACACCATAAAACTCTTACCTCACCTAATCACTAACAATCTTTCCTACAATCCAACCTCTGTTGACTCAATTCTTACTTACATTTACTTACACTTACTTACCTACATAGCAATTAACCTACATAGCAACCTACATCCCCAATCTCCTCTTCCTTCTTTCCTCCTCCCGCCCCACCTCTCCTCCACCTCACTCATCATGGAGTTTTTTGCAAATTTTCTCCACAACTCATATTCCTTACAGATACTTACTTCATGTAGTCAACACCATTGACGTCACTTATTCGGCAAGCCGGCACAGCTGGCAGAAACGAATACACCTCGCCACAACTTATAAAAAAAATACAACTGATCGAGCAGCGTTTCGTTAATTAGCATACTTCACTGTAGCCCAGAAATCTATTATTTCTCGAGCCTTTAACTAATACTTAACTCCGCTCTCTAATAATTAACTCAGCTCGACTTGTTTTCTCTCACTTCCACAACACACCATGGTAACATAAACACTACACACTCAATTCAACACCCCTCGCTTCCACATTGTTGATCTACCTTACCCTCCTTTCCTTTTTCCCTCCATCCTTTTATCATATTAATCAATATAATTGTTTTAAGTTGGAGTCTTTTTGCAAATATTTGTTCTCCAACCACTTATTCAAATGAATTTTACATCCTGTAGGCAACTCCAATCACTGGTAAGCCTGGTTTACGCGTCGAATAAACGATTATCCGCGAACGAGTCTCAGTCATCCCTCGTGATATCCACAAGTGTTTCGGATTATCAGTGATTAATATAGTGATCAGTGTTTGGTGACAGTGCAGTGAAAGATCAGCTGTACGTTGTACGAGGTCAGTGCCCTTCGACATCGAGAGCCACAAGTCCAGCCAGCAAATGCATCCTGAACTAAATGGCTGAGTTTCTTATTGATAATATTTTTCATATTTCTCTAATAAACAAATCCTTTACGTCCCTTAACGCGATTATTTATTATTAAATCAGCTTTGCGAATCATTCGTTGAACTGTGTTCGGACACGGAATTATTTAAATTAAAATATCATTTACGAACTTTGTTAATCTTCACTGTACACCTTGCATAAAAATTTCACATGTTACACACGAGGTGTCATGCACACTAGAAAATTAAAACGGCCGTCACGGTTAAATTACTTATTATTGCGGGTCCGAAAAATTAGTAAATATTCTTCAGACGTCCTAAAGTAAAGGTGAACAGCGTTTTTCTTAAAAATATCACTGTTACGTAGTAAAAAAAAAATCCGGAATGTTCTCGCTTCGTCACTTGTTCAATACTTCAAACGCGGCTCGAGTCCGTCCCGACCATCTGTCAAAGCCTCGTGCTGCGGGCTCTCGAACTTCGCGCTGTCACCTCTCATTGGTCAGTGTTTTTCGTTAATAACTCGTAAACAAAGCCGCAGATTGCATTTTTGCAAAGGAAAAAGTTACTTCAAATGACCTCAGCTACTATTTTTATGAGATACAGTATAACAAATAATCAATTTTAAATTAATTAATAAGAGGTTTGATAATCTTTAGCTTTAATAACCTTTAGTAAGCGACGGGGCATGCTATTTAGTAATTTTTCCAAAATATTTGCCGTAATTTTATTCCATTTGCTTTTTATGGCTGCAATGAAGTCCGATTTTCTATATCGTTGATTTCGTGGAATTTGTAGCTCTAGTTCATCTCATAGATGCTTTATAGAATTTAAATCTGGACTCTGAGGTGACCAAAGGATTACCGAAATACCATTTTCTTCAAAAAATTTTTTATCTATTTTTGCCGTGTGTTTCGGATCGTTATCGTGTTAAAACACGCAGGACTGAAATAAATCTTCATTTAATAATTCAATATATTTAGCAGCAGTGTCAGTCTTCAATCAATAATAGTTAAATTGCCTACTTGGATGTCATTAAAACAACCCGCCTTATATATTTTCCTTTTGTTTGAATTCAATTCGAATTTCGATTAATCGCTCCAAATTATCGATTTCCAAAATGAAATCGGCTTATTGTAATGTTCTTTAACAACAAAAAAATGCGCATATAACGCAGGGTCAGTCCACTTTTGTACAAAGATTTTCTTAAGCGTTAAGTAATGACTGTGCTTAATCCGTTACTAAATCTTTCTTAAATGTTTCCTGTAAACATTCTGTAAAGGGCCTACAGAAATATGGCTTACACGGATGCCAGATGTATTCGGCACTCGTCCATATTGGTCATCAGATGGATGCCGGATATATCCGGCGCTCGTACCGAAAGGGTTAATGCAAGGTTTGGTTTTTGCGTGATCGATATTAGTAGAGAAAGATTTTTTTTATTTATTCTGCAGGAATGAATGCCGTGTTTGTGATCGGGCACGCAACGCGAATTTCCGGAAGGCAATACAAAATAGTACTAGGTACGTGATCGTTGAATCGTGGCATATCGCCTCCGAATCGCCTTCGAATCGTTACAGTGTATTCATAGTAATGTACAGTGGCTCACGAAAGTGTTCGAACGCCTTTTGAAACGCAATAACTTTTTTAAAACTGAACTAAGGGACTTGAATTTTTTCAGATGATAGCGAGACTAGTTTACCAGATGATGACCAAAATCCTTTTTTTTTTAAATTTTGCTATTATTTGGAATGACAAAAAAAAATAAAAAACTCTCGTTTTTAAACTTTTTTATCTGAACCCATTTTAAATTTTCGTTATAACGAAAATTTAAAAAATGCCTCTCGTAGATCTCGGTAACTCATATGCATGCTGAAAATTTCATCGAAATCGATTAACCCAGAGTCGAGCTACAACCGTTGAAAGATGTAAGAAACTACAGATTCCTTCCAGTTTTTTGGTCAAAATCGTGATAAAACTACGATTTTTGCCATCTTTGATTTGTTATAACTCATAACAACGTCAAAGTTCCATACCAAAAATGTTTTACGCGTTTATTTTTTTATGTATAATCATGATTATTTCGCTCCTATTATGATTTCCGACCAATTTTATCAAAACATAAATGAGAATAGCGTGTCATATTTTCTGTCCTGAACTGTATATACAAACGTTCGAAACAGTTAACCCTTCGAATACTGTGCCGAAGCCATTTTTAACCTTCTAGCTTTAGGCTCTCCATCGTAATCTCCATCAATTTGCAGCGGAGACATCTGTGCGCATTTCTATACATGTTATCTTGATGCGGCTCAAACTCCCGCATCGGTGAAATAGCAATGAGAGTCAGAAATGACTCTGGCACAGGACTCGATGCCCCATCACCGGGAGGGTTAACTAACTCGCGCAGCAGCTAAGAAAGGGGCATAGGAGAATGTCTGAAGTTATTTCAATGCTTTCTATAATATTCAATGAAAACTTAAAAACTAGAGTTTCTCAGACTTTTCAAGGTTTTCTACTTACCGTCCAGGTAGGTAGAATTATTTTGAGCGGTGACATTCGATTCCGGTGACATCAAACCAACGAGACCGACATCCTGCGAAGCTTCCTTCAACTCTAGTCGAATCTCCGTCATATATGTCCTACGCAAATCAGGCCAGTGCCAAATATTAGTGCGAATCGAATGTAAGTAGTTTTGCACAACGCGTTAGAAAATAATTCAGCTTAACATCGATATTTCTACGGTACAAGTAATATGAGTAAACTGTGATTCGTTATATATTTATGGCGTGTACAGATTTTTAAAATAAAGGACAACATTTAAATTAACAAGGTTGATCCGGACTTGAGTGGCCGAAAAGAGTCGCCGAATATCGCACAGCGCTGTGCGAGAAGTGATAGGTTGAAGAGAAACTTGTAGGCGCGAGCGAATATTTAGCTGAACTATATTTAACAAGTAATGCGGACTATATTTGAGATGCATGTTGAACGGAAATATACAAGAAGACGAAATAAGAATAAACGGTATAATGAGACAAACACCTGTACTGAACACGTTGAAATATAATGAAAGGAAACACGGTAAGGAAATGAGAAGAGTTCTGTAACTGTTCCTTAGAACGATCGAACGGGAATCGGCACAGTGAGAGGCGTCTTACTGTCTTCAGAACGTACGAGTGCGAGAGACCGAATTCGCGAAATACGAGCCTGATTCTGGGAAATTCGACTGGTCGCTGATTGGGTTCTCAGAATCACCCAATTATGTAAGCGCGAGAATTGGAGAATTGCACTGGGTAACCCTGGGGAGCACGGAGTCTCGAACGCAAAACAAACGCAGCGCGAGACAAGTGTCATTATACAACAGCAGATGGCGGGAACGTGCTCCCGGTGTGGGGACGTGGTTCCCCCACTCCGACCACCTGCGCATGGCGCAGGCGCGGCGGCTCTCTGACCGCCATCACGAGGAGCACACTCACCTCCTCGTGGCTCTCCGTCTCTGAACCTCGAAGTGTGCACACGTATAGTAGGGAACCTGGAGTATTTAATTTCACACTGAACCCCACATTGGTGACCCCGACGTTCGATTAAGAACGCATTTTTCCGCGTGCATCAACGTTGACGAGATAGAAGCCTACTGCCGCCGGCCAATTGTGCAACTGGAAGGGACTGCGTGAAGCCATCGTCACCGTCGCCTTTTCATCGATTTCCAGCCGGAAAACCACCTGTGGCTTCGACCACGTGGAAGACGACGCTGGCTCCGGAGGTTCCCAGCACAATTCCTGGACGGCCTGCCCCCCGCTGAGGTAAAGCATAAAGCCACCGTCACCGGCGCCTTTTCGACACGGTCCGCCCGTAACCATACCGTCCGGAGACCGCAGGATTTCCTGGGGCCCGGAAGATCGGGTGATACGCAGTTGCGGACGGAATCTACGCCACCGGTGCATATTCGGTGAGATATCGCCAGTAATTTCACCGTCCGAAGCTCTCGGAACTCACCGAGACCCCGGAAACGCGCGTGTCGAACATAATGCCGTGATTCAGCACTTTTGCGCGGTATGGCGGCCATCTTGCTATGATTCAGCACTATTGCGCTGAGCGTCGGCCACCTTGGTGTGCGCGTGCGATAGGGACAGCATGGCAGCCGACAAGAGCACGGACGCAGCGGCATCGGACAAAATTGAGAGCTACCGCTCTCCCAAAATGCCCACGTTCTATCGTGAGGACCCGGCCACTGTGAGAGACTTAATTATGAAGGTGCCGCGCCCACCTAATATATATACCGATATTTTGTGAAATATCTGGTGAGACGATCTGCCCATACATTCCCGCGAAGTTACGAAGGACAGTCCTTGATACTGTACATAATCTGGCTCATCCGAGTGCCAGGGTTTCCGACAGATTAATTAGACAGCGGTACATTTGGCCCAACATTCACCGGGATGTTGTTCGGTGGTGTAAGCAGTGCATTAAATGTCAGCGAGCTAAAGTCTCATGGCATACTAGCCACTTGCCCGAGCACTTTGTTGCCCCGGATGGTCGATTCGACCACGTCCATTTGGACATTGTTGGCCCACTGCCCGTGTCGGACGTGTACAGTTGTTGTTTAACGATCATTGACCGATTCTCCCGCTGGGTAGAGGCTGCTCCTCTGCGGGACACTTCGACGCAGTCGGTGGCAAGAGCGTTCTTCGAGACGTGGGTGTCGCGCTACGGGGCTCCCAAAGTCATTACTACGGACCAAGGAGCCCAGTTCGAGCCGCGACTGTTCTCAGCCCCGCTGTCGCTAATCGGGTGTGTGGGAGATCCTGGTCCGGCGAGATTTGCGCCGACCACCAAATTGTAAATTTCAATGTATATAGTAGCCCATAAGTCAATTATAAGCGTTCGGGACACCGTCCCGGTAGAATTAGTACGCCATAAGATGTAAAATTTTTATATTTTTGTTAATAAAATGAGTACGTTCACACTCGGGGGGGGGGGGAGTCTGTGGGGACGTGGTTCCCCCACTCCGACCACCTGCGCATGGCGCAAGCGCGGCGGCTCTCTGACCGCCATCACGAGGAGCACACTCGCCTCCTCGTGGCTCTCCGTCTCTGAACCTCGAAGTGTGCACACGTATAGTAGGGAACCTGGAGTATTTAATATTACACTGACCCCTACACCGGTCTGGGGACCTGGTTCCCCCACTCCTCAAGGTTCGACTGTACCTTTGAATACGGGCGTGTGGCGGCGTTCTCGCCCGTCGTCCCGCGGAGAGGCAATGCTCTCTCTTTCTCGTTACGTTCGTCGAGTTATGAACTCGTGAAAGGGAACTGTCTAGTTTTATTTCGCTAGTCCCTACCTCCCGTGGGCGAGTTGAGACCCATATCGGTTTTTCGTTCTTTAGAATTTTTCGTTTTCGGTCTCGATAGCAAATACTGGTATTATAAACCCCATGATTTCCAAAGGCCTCCACGATCTGAGGCCCGATGGCCAACAGCTTCCTGACACGTGCCGAGCAAGCCTGGAGGAAAGCCCGTTACGCGTCACGGAATGACTGACATGATTGACCTGATTGGTTAAGCGTCTGCCGTGGCGTTTTCAGGCCGCGGAACAAATTTTCCTACAAGGTATAAAAGTGGAGAAACGCCCACTCTCGCGACGTTTTTAATCGAGTAATACGACGGATAACTTTCACTGGTTTTCCTTGGGTGAATGCAGGATCAGCTAATCATTAGGAAATGTTAGTATGGACTCGCAACCTTAATATTATAATTTCGATACAATCCAGGCGGTAAGATTGTATCGTGGATTTATTTAAGGATTTATAGTACTCAGCAAGAACAATAAAAAAATTTAACAAACATGGGTCCAAAAGTCAATTATTTCGACAGAAAATCGACTTTTCCTATCACCTGATTTTTTCGTGTGACTTCACAATTTGTTTAATGTTAGAAAAATATTTCAGTGAAAATACATACAAAATTAATTTTAAAGTAATCAATTAATTCATATTTTAGAAGTCGTAATCTAATTATCGAAGAAGGAAAAGAGAAAAATGAGGAAAAGGAACATGGGCCCGAAAGTGAGTTTAAGCATAAATGAGGAGAAAATGGACGAGTACGTGTAGGTTAAGTCTATATTCGTTGTAGACTGAGTTCATGTCGTGGCCGAGAAGACTGATATTAATTAATAAACTGTGACGTCATTTCCTTTTTCGCAAATCATAAAACGCGGACAGAGGCGACTCAGGGATTCTAATGCCCTTAGGCCGGGCCACGCACGGTAACAGGTACCATGATCAAATCGGAAGACGAGCTGACAGGAATGCGGGTCCGATTGATCAGAGACAGAGCGTAAGTTCTAACCTCTCATGCAGTTTCCGCTAGATCGCTCTATAGACCGAAGCGGTCACACCCAACAGACACGCGCGCGCGTGCGCACGCACACCTCGCTCTCCGCACACATTCTTAACGCGCACGCACTTCAGTCACTGCATACATGAGTTTATACAGTAGAACCCCTTCTATATTTTAATTAATATAATGACAAAGATGTCTAAAAAAATTTCTTGGACATCGGAATGATTGCACTTCTAACATTAAAGTTGATTTATTTAAATAAAGATCATCAAGACTGATATGTTACCTACACATTTATGGATTTTATATATTTTGAATGACTAAACTCTTACTACAGTAAATTTTCCCTAATTGTCGTTCAGCTTGTGAACAAAAATGGACAACTTGGGGAGAGGGGGATACGATTATTCGAGCCTTGTTTTTTATAGTCGTTGATTGTCAACAACTATAAAAAAAGGAAGCGCGAGGCTCAAATAATCGTATCTCTTCCCAATCCCATATTGTCCATTTTTGGTTCCAAAACCTCAATAACCATGTAAAATGTTATTTTTAATTATTTTATAATAGTTACTTAACTGTGGGACAACAAGTTTACTTATTACTTGTATTTACGAAGAGTGAATGAGGAGTGAATGAGACGTACGGAGAACGAGCGAGATAGTGCAAATCGGCAGGTAGTAATGGTTGTCGATGCGCGATGAAACAGCGTAGCGTCTACGGGAGCGTCAGAGGTGAGGATAGGCGGGCCTAACGGTGAGCCCCTGTGCCGTCTTGGGACTTGTTTCGTGACCTGACCACGATATGCGGTCTACCAGGCGCAAGACGCGATTTCCGAAAATCCGATGCGGAGCACGATAGGATATTTCGGTATGAGACACCGAAGGGAGTATCGCGCGAAATGAAGCTAGACCCTGGTACACAAGAGACCGATGAGATGCGATTAGGATCCGAGGGAACCGATACAGGAATAGCAGAGGGCAGCCCTTGCAGCAAAGCGGATATCGAGGTATGAAACGACAGCACCCGAATAAGGTTCTAGATTTCTCTAATCGGGTAAAATCTTACAAATGAAGCGGTCACGTGGCCAATCATTTCCAAGCGGCAATGGTAGAGTAACACGATACCTAATAAGAAAATTCTCAAAAGTCGAGAGATCGCAAGACACAGATGTTCGGCGCAATTACAATTGGACTGTCGAGTTTGTTATCGGCGCGAGACAAAAATTATCTAAAAATATTATTTTTTCTCAAAAGGTGTCGTCCTTATTAATATAAACTTAATAATGTAATCTCTTCTTTTGG